AAAAAAAAAAAAAAAAAAAGCTTAGGAATTCACATTCTAATTTCAACAGTAAGAATTTCTTCAATTTTTTAATACTGTTTTCCTTCTTTTTTTTTTTTTTTTGGCCTTTTTGAGACAGTTTCACTAAGCAATTCAGGCTGCTTTGAACTCACTTTGTAGCCTGGTAGGTCTCAAACTCACAGTGGTCCTACTGCCTCAGCCTCTTGTGTTGGAATTACAGGTGTACACCACCATACCAGCCTCCTTCACTCTTAAGTAACTGAAAATCTATCAAGACTTTTTATTATCTAATTAATATTTTTACCTGGGAAAAATGTTCGGTTTATAATTATAAAAACATGTAAAGCATGTCCACTGATTTATTCCAGAAGCATTTCTTTATGAGACCACTGGTGACTTTCCTTATTCACTTGTAGTTTCACCCACTTTCAAGCTATAAACATTTCTTCAGTACTTAATATGGGCTCAACTTTAGGAACTATGAGCATTATAAAATACAATGTTTACCCAGAGGTAACAATCATATTGGCAGAAAAGAACTAAACACAGCAATTTGTTGACAATGTAACTTAACTAGCAATTTGAGACAAGGTATTTTACAGGCCAAAAACAGCTATGAGAGAGAGAGAGAGAGAGAGAGAGAGAGAGAGAGAGAGAGAGAGAGAGAGAGAAACTCAGGAGAAACATGATTATAAGCTGACTTTTGGGAAATCAGATGGAAAGTGAACCTGGAGCATTATATTCCAAGTGGAGCATGACTCTGCCTAATGGAGGCAAACAGAGGGTATCACAGGAGGGGACAACCAACTGAGCCAACATGCACAGGCTACAAACATTATGTGGCATTCACGTGTCCAGCAAGGCTTTCTAATGTGTGCACCTCACACCACCTGCTCCACAGTCATTCACAGACATTAGGCAACAAAGAATTTGTAGGCCAAGTGAACCTGAACAATGCAGGCCTACTAAAAGCTTATCCTTCACAAGGAAACCTTCAATATGCTAATACAATACAATCCACCTCATCTGACTATGGGGACCTTTAAATGAGAGTGAATTTTGCAGGGTACACCTTGGGAAAATGCCGGCAGATGTTTCATTGTGTTGAGTCATGTAGGTAGCTGTCTTGTGACCTGTGAACTTGTGTGTCTCTGCTCACCATGGCTGTAGTCTGGGATTTGCCACATTGGGTAAGCACGACTTACTGACCATCCTAATGAAACTATACAGGATGAATAATAATTTCAGTAAAACTTAAACCCAAGTCAATCAGACTGGATATTTCTTCTAACTATGAAACTTTTAAATTACCCTGAAATTCAACGCTGACCCAAGATGAAGTTTTCAAAGAAATATCTTTTCCAGAGCGCCACTGACAGTAGTGGAAGGCTAGCTCATGACTTAGGAAAAAAATTCATGTGACATTTCTTACTTTTATGTATTGTTCCAAATACTGACATCTTTATAAAGTTTACAATGTATTAGTGATTGTAAATTATTTCAATGCCAACTGAACTCATGACCAGCCCTCATTTCCCACATCCCCCAAACAAATACAAACCAGTGTTACTATTCTGCTAGTGAACTGTGCCTACTAGCTGTTCAACTGGGCAGAAATTCAGGAACCCTCTTGATCCCATGACTGTATTTACTCCCCAGTCCTACCAAAGAGCTAAGTCCTTGGGGCTCCACCTGTTCACTGCGCCTCTATCATCCCTCTGCTATCACTCTTGCCTTCGGACCACAAGTGAGGTCTGCAGCTATGTGGAAGTGGGATTGATCACAATCTTGTGGGTTATTTAGTATAGCACTGTTCAAGTTACTTACAATCTCCTACATTCATTTTCCCTGTGCCTATGCAATAGGGTTATCTGAAAACTGCACATAGACTGCAAAGCAAAATGTGTGGTACTTTAAGAGGCAAGGACTCTAAATCGTAAGTTCCTTATAAAATAAACTACAGGATACCCAGTACAAGGCCTGTTACTGTCAGCCTTTTAATTTCTTCCCAAGCCCTTCTGTATCCTTAAGCCAAACCAAAGTACTTGCTTTTCTCAAATATCTCAATTTCTTTCAAAGCCCTTGGACTGCTTTTTGTGCTTAGGAAATACACACAAAGACATAGACACACAGACAGACAGATGGATGGACACACACCCCCTCTTCCCTACTCCCAAACTTCATAATCCTTGCTTTTATTTTTTTTAAAGAATACAAAATGGTAAACAAAACAAAACGCACTAGAAATGATACAAAATTCATTTAAAGTAATAGGAAGTCCGTGTTCCTTGCTTTAAGGTGCAGCTCTGAGAACCTGTTCCTGACCTCTGTCCACTCTGACCTGCAGCATAACAGGATTTCAACCCCAAGATTACTTTAATTATAATCTTGTGATTGTTTTGTAGTTTTTATCATACAGCATAGTAATTCTACATATCTCCCCCACTACACTAGAAGCTAAGGAGAATGGCCTTTGTCTTAGTTCTATCTGCACACAAATGTGGATGTGTATATAACAGGGTGCTTAAACATTTGCTGACCCACCAGCAAGGTTTTGCAATAGATAGCTATGTGAGCCAGGCTTTGAAGCTGTGTCTATCCTCAGGGTAACAGTGGTGAGCATGTGAATGATATCCACAGATAAAGTATTCAAAAACAAAAGTCATGCTGGAATACTGTTTATTTAATTACTATTACTTACTGTCAGTGTTTTCTGGTAATATGTAATCTTTGCCCGGACAGGATAGGGTTTATTACGAAAATCTCTCTGGCAACTTGCTAAAGCTTGACTGGCACCATCACTACAATAAGAGAGAAGGAAAATGAATTAAGAAACTTAGAAACTTTTTCAATATTTAAAAATTAAAGAGGATTAAAATAATGTCAAGTTATGACAAAGAGGACAAAAGTTATTAAGACTTAAAATAGAAGTGGAATTCTCTTAGAAGTCCAACGCTACTATGTGTTGGAGAGAAGGGAAGGATATACTACTGTATGTGAGACCTCTAGCACAGCAGTCCTCTAGTCCAGGGCAGAAACTGAATCCCTCTGGAAGCTTTAAAAATGCAGGTTTGAGCCCAGCATGATGGCACATACCTCAAATCCTCCCAGTACTCTGAGAGGTTGAGGCAGGAGGACTGCACATTCAAACCCGGTCTTGGTAATGAGGCAGCTAAATGAGATCCTATCTCTAAAATAAAAAAAGGCTAGGAATGTAGCTTGATGTGAAGGTCCTAGGTTTAATCCCCAGTACTGGAGAGAAAAAAGAGCCCACAGATTCTACCCCAAAATCAACTGAGGCAGAATTTGAAGGAGAGGGCCCAGATGCCTCCAACTCAAACAGCTCTACAGCAAGTTGTGATCAACTACCAGTGTTGAAAATCAAGGTAGGAAATAAAAAAATGAAGCATGGGTATTAATTTCCACTTTCAGGATGAGTAATAATGCTCACCGATTGGCTAAAATTCCTCCATAATAAATATGTAAAATAAAAATTTTCGTATCTAATTCATGTTTATTACAAATATACTGAACACCTAAAAAGTTTTTAATCTTCTGAGACTCTTCAAGTTAAGCAAACTAAGGTTGACTAAGGTAGCGTAAGTGCTCATTAGTTTGGTCAAAATGAAAGATCAGTTTTGAAAGATTTCTCAATTAATAATAAAAAAGCATGACTAACTGACATCACTGAAAGCCAGGGACAAACTACAATCCTTTAAAAGTATTATAATTTCAGGTTAAACATTTTATGTTTGAAATCTGAGGTGCTTCACAGAAAGAGCTATAAGACATAACTAAATAAAATAAGACTTTTCACCAGCTAAAAAATAACACTTCAAGAAAAGGAATACTCTTATTTAATTTGGAATGTGTTCAGATTTGAAATCATACATTTCATGAGGTTTTCAAAGAGAAGCTGAAACGAGACATGTCAAAATTATAAACTTACTTTTGGTGATCATAGTGGATTTGTCCATTGTTGCCTATAACTACTATAGCAGGATTATTTTTCTGAAAATAAAGAGAATATATTGGTTTTAAAGTCTGTAGTTATCCCCAGCACCACATGATACACTGCCCGCCCCCCTACCCCCAAGCTGAGCTGGCAACTGAGACCAGGCATGGTGGTGCACACCTGTAATTCTAGCACTGGGGAGGCAGCAAACAGGAGGATCACTACCAGTCTGAACTGTATAGTGAGACCCTGTACCAAATACATTAAAATAAAGAATAAAAAAATAAAGTCTGTTGTCAAAAATTTTAGATTTTTGCAATGTGCAGTGAGTTCTCCTGTATTTGTATTTAGGACTCACAATTTTAAAATAACATGGTCTAGGCATTCAAGGCCACTAAACTGTGAACAGTGATCTCTGAAAATCAGTATAGAAACAACCAGCCATAGGGAAAAACATTTGAAGGTTGCTAATGTATAAGCTGATGTTTCTAATATGTAAGCACATTTTGCCTTAACTGTCTCTGATCACTGGTCTGATCAAGAAGAGTGGTTAACATACGGCGAGTAAATGTACAAGCAGCGGCTGTCGTGCACTTGACTACCATCATGAAAGCAAACCGACAGTCTTCTAACTCTATTGGTTTCACTGCCCACACCTAAAGACCCACGGTTCCACATCATAATTACTGTGTACATGGAAGCAGTCACTATGAAGTCCTCAGAGTTAGGGTTTCATTACAATTTCAAGTTGAAAAATCATGCCTGCATAGCTCTTAGCTGCTAAATGTTCTGCTGCACATAGATTAATCACACTCAAAAAGTATCACACGAGTTCACCATTATTAAAATCATGAAAGCATCACAGCCCAACTTTGCCAGCAAGTGTGTATTAAAGTGGGTAACAGTTCTGGCAATCAATCAATATACCTTTCCATCATTGTCAAAAGAATCAAAAAATATTCCAACACCATTCCACATGTCAGCTGATCCAAACACGGGACCTTCTAAGCCTTGATTTTCTGTATACCAAATTGCCTGAAAATATATAACAGGCAACAGTTAGAGGATAGCAGTATGTGCATTTATATTCATTTTTTAAGTATGAAAAAGTCCTACCAGGCCATCAGCTCCAATTCGGCCTCTTCCAGTCACTCGAAATGTCACCTCTACTTCCCAGTTTTCAAATGCTGCTTTTGCCTTTGTCCAGACTGATCCTCTTTGGCTTTTCAAAGATGGTGCTATTCGAATTTGATCTGAACTTGGAATGGCATCTAAATAGGAATCAGAGAAGAAAAGCTTGACGATGTAATTACGTAGAAGTCAACATATCATCTCCAAATTGCTACACATACCTATAAAGAGCAAACTGTTAACTTAGTAACCTATACAACAGTTTTGTTTGAAAATAATTTCACGTTGACAATTTCAACTTTGAAATTTGGGGCTAATGCTTCTTATAAGCAGTAGAATATCTCTGCAAATGTTTTTTAAAATTCAAAAATAAATTTACAACCACATACTAAAAATTACAGAGGCAATAGGGACAGGAAAGAAAAGGCAAACTATCTGATTCTCACAATATCTCTTACAAATATCTCAAAAATTTGTGTATTATTTTTTAAAAAAACTTGCAGTATATTTTGTCAGTTTACAAATGTTATAAAGTTTTCAAACATTGTGAAAAGAACATACCACTAGGAATCAAGAGACTTGTTCCTAGTCTCAGTTCAGCTGTGATTTTTAACAAATAATTCTTACTCTAAGGGTCTCACCATATGTTCACCTGTAAAATGAAGGGGCTGGGCTTGATCACTTCTACAAACATGCCAAAAGTTACATGCAAAGTATTCTGTGTATGTACATTTTTCTTGGGAGAGGGCCAAATGAATTTCAACAAGCAGTTTTTCAGCACTGACAGATTGTGAGCAACAATGCTGATCTCCAAAATAGCGATTTTCACCTCCAGGCTGTTTTCAACTCCCAGTTCTTCCATTTACTAGCTGTCGGTTTTAGGCAAGTTATCTCATTTCTCTAAGAACTTCATAGGTATATAAGTGCTTATATGAGTGAGTTTGTAGGCATATCTGGGAGATATGCTGTTTTAGTTCCCAACCAGTGCAACAAAGCAAGTCACAAATCTTCTGGCTTCTCAGTACATGTGAAAGTTATATTTACACTATACTGCAGTCGACTGAATGTACAAGAGCAGTATGTCTAAAGAAACCAATGTACTTACCCTAATTTTAAAAATTTTTATTGCTAAAAAATCTGAGCTATTGAAAAATAGTGCCAATACATGTATGGAATACAGAGTTGTCATTAACCTTTGATTTGATTTAAAAAAAATCACTACGGAGAACTGCAATGGATACATAATTTAAAAAGGTATGTTCACAAATGTTTCAGTAACTATTATATGTTATTAAAGTACTTATTAGACATAGGTGCTTTATAGGTGCTAATTCTAGCATACTCTCAGCAGTAACCATTCTGGCATTTATGCTGGGAAATAAAAATAAAACAATGATAAAATCATTCTATACATAGGGAAAACTGACCAAAAGAAAAACAGATATGTAAAGTAAAACGACCATCACCATCACCATCACTTTCAAACAAAGGTTGCAGGGCAGACATGGAAAGAATAATGGACAGAGAACCAAAAGCCCTGGGTTTGAGCTCAACTGTTCTGATACAAACTATGTAACTCTTCCCAGGAACCTTAACTTTTTTGAACACTGCTTTTTCCCACTGTGCCTACAATAGGTAATACCCACCATACCTACTAAAGATCTTAGTAGGTACTAAGGATCAAGTTGGGGAACAAAGCTGAAAGAACTCTGAGAGCTGCTATAAAGTCATAAATTATCTTTTTTTTTTTTTTTTCCCCCTATGGCCCTATGGATCTAAAGAGGTGACAATACATACAACAGAATGTTAGCGCTGAAAAACAACAAGGGCATTACGAGAACAATGAGACTGTAAAATAGCCAAGGTACACCCAGAGCAGTGATTTTCACAGTCAGCAGAAACAAAAATCATGGCTAAAATACTATTTTATTTATTTTAAATTCAGTCTAGCCACGCAGCTCAAGTTCACTGAGATTCATTATCTTGATTTTTTCCAGCAAGAGTAATCTCTATAAACAAAGTCAAGGTAAGCTGTTTAACATTCCTAACTTGCTGATGTATGAATGAGTGTGAGAAAGAGAAGCAGAACAATGTAGAGGTTCAGAAGTGAAAAAATGTGAACAAATACATCAGCACTACTGAAAAATTTATCATCATTCCAAAGAAAAAAACAAGACTCCAAAACTTGTGCTTGGTATCTGTCCCATCTTTGTGTATTAAGAACATTATCTTGATAAGAAATGCCTATTGGGCTCATAACAAATAACTGCTGGGTAACAACATAATTACACTCTGCCTCACAAACTTAATGACTTGAGTCATTAAATCAAATTTAAATTTGCACCTATAATTACACATCAATTTGAGGGAAATGGCCCTTCAAGAAAGTGTGCTTCTACCTAGGAATTACTTTCCAGAAAGAAAACGTTTTGGTGAACCTGATATAACCTAGTGACTATATATAAGCTTTATATATATGACTGCTTAACGCACAAGGACGAAATTCAAATTGCCAGAGCTTCTCAAGTCAGAGAGAGACAGGCATCTGCCACTTGCTCTAAAGGGTGCCATCTGATGGTCACTGAACAGTTCCTGACATGCAAACGCTGGGGCCATTCCTCAGTCAGCAGTGACACATCAGCACTAAAAGGGGCAGATACCTTCGCTTTCACAAACACAAGTGCTCTAGCAAGTCTGTTATCTTTGAGAGTCCCAAAGAATGAATAAAACTGCAAACACAAATTATTTTGATTTTTCAAAAACTGTTTCTTAAGAAAGGAAAATACTGCATAATGCTCATGTTCTCAGCCTCTGATTCAGAACCAGCACCAAAACCCGTATCTCTCTAAAAAATAAAAGCCTGAATGTGACTATAAAGTTACATAACGTAAAGATCAAAAACTAAGCCAAGTCTCTGTGAGGTTTTGTTAGGTGAAGTTCCAAGTGCCTAATAAGAAATGTCTTCGGATACACAGACTTAAAAGTTGCCCTAAGACCAACTTGTGCCATCTTCAGGTCCTCTCAGGGCATCGGGTACAAACCTGGGCATTAACATTGCTAACACTGGAGGAAAAAGGCAGGAGAAAGGAGGCTGCTGGAACAGCCAGGTTGGGAGGGCTGGGGAACGTGTCCCCTAGAGACGTGGCGTCAGGGTGAAACGTGACACCTGGAAGCGAGCAGGGTGCTGGCAAGTACAGAAAGTAAGAAAATACCTCTAGATCTAATGCAAAGTACAGTCAGGATCAAAGAAGGGAGGGGAGGTGGGGGACGAACGACAGAGGGGCAGAAAGTCTGAGACAGACAGGGAAACTTGTGGGCCACAGGGACCGAGAGGAGGAGCTGCCCAGAGTCCCCGCCACAGCACAAAAGGCGAGCAGCGGCGGGAACCCGGCCTCAGCACACCACAGCGAGGGCGAAGGGCGGAGAGACAGCGAGGGGACCCGGCCCCCCGCCCCCTGCCCCGGCTTACTCCCCGCGTGGGCCCAGAAGGGCACGTTCCCATCGCTCTGCACTAGGTGCGGCCCCTTGAAGCTGTATTTGTACTCGAAACGGCGATGCAGCGCCGCGGCCGGGGTGCCCGGGGAGCCGACAGCCGCGGGGTCGCCTCCTGTGCCGTCGCCCCCGACGAAGTGGCTGAGCAGCAGAAGTAGGGCGCAGAAAAGTTGCCGGGCTCTGGCCCGGGGACCACTTTGCCTGGATCCCGCCATCTTGGACTGCGGGCGCGAAGGCCGGTGGGAGAGGGAGGGGCGCGGGAGGCTGCGGACAGCCAACAGGGCGCTCACTGATTGGTGGAGCCCGGAAGACCCCCCAGGGCAAGGGGTGAGTCCCGCCCCCGGCTTCAGCTTTCCTGGTGGCGAGCGCGCGCTTTGTGGGCGGGGCCAGGGAGGGGCGGGGTCCAGGAGGGGCGGGGTCGGGAGACGGCGCAGCGGGCTAGCTGCGAGGGTAGGGAAGGGGATTACAACTTTCGAGTGGGAGGAGCCGACTCATGTTTACCTGCTGGAGGCTTCCTCGTGTTGCCTACAATACCTTAGAGGAGCTGGGTCTTGCGGATTTAGCCTGTAATAAGCCAGTGTTATAAGAAAGGCGTTCTTTTTCTTGTGACACCGATTATTCAGTAGCTGATTTTCGTTGTGTGACCTTTTCAGAAACACAGCATAAGCGAGAACAAAAATAGTCCCAGCGCACTAAAAGCATCTCAGAAGAGCCCAGGAGTCTTTTTGTGGGTTGAGAGGGGAGAGGAGGGTACGAAGCTGTCAGTACGTCTTCACTTCTTCAGTATTAACTGCAAGGACTTTCCAAATGTTTGGAAACATAACGATAGTGCACTCAAAGGAAACTAGGTTTACGTTAGTCTTGGAGAATGGGATTTTATGTTATAGATGGAGTCGTTAACAAGCCCTGGGCATTTAAGATTGGAATGACCTGTGACTCAACGTGTAAATTATGCATTTATTTATTTTATTTATTTATTTATTTATTTTGCGGAACCAGGGATTGAATTTATACCCTTGCGCTTGCCAGGCAAGCGCTTATTCTACTGAGCCATCTCCCCTGCCTTTAGGTTTTTTTTTTTTTTTTTTTTTTGCGGAACCAGGGATTGAACTCTGGCCCTTGCACCAGGGAAGTGCTTATTGCCCTGAGCCATCTCCCCGGCCCCAAATTATGCATTTTAAAGGAGATCTCCTTTACAGAGAAAATACCTGTGTTGTCAATTTTGTTTTTAACGAATTTTTAAAATCTGAAATGGCAGTATGAATTGTTTTGTTCTTAATTTTATATTTATTTATTTATTTATTTATTTATTGAGATTTTTTTAGACTGGGTGTCTCTATGTAGTTCAGGCTGACCTTGAACTCACTGTGTAGCCCTGATTGGCCTTCAACTCGTGGCATTCCTCCTGCCTCAGCCTCCCCAGTGCTGGGATTACAGGCATTCGCTACAATGCCCAGGTCAATTCTTAGGCATAGCTCTTTATTTCACTTGCGAACATTGAACACGATGCTATCACTAGGTACTGATGCTCGTAACTTTTCGTTGACCATACAGTTGCCAGGGCTAGATTTATGGCCTAGTACCATTAAAACTCTTTGTTCTCTTGTTGCTGAGACAAAATACTTGACACCCAAAACTAAAGGAGAAAGGTTCATTGTAGCTCACATTTTGTAGCAGTTTCAGGCCATGGCTGACTCTCAGGTGGAGTAGCATGGCAGAGGAACGTTGTGGAGCAGGTGGGCAGAAGGTGGAAGACAGCAAGCAGCAGAGTAGCAGCAGCAGCAAGCAAAGCAGCAGAGGTATCCCTCTTTCTGTCCGTTATTTTCTATCCAGGGTCCCACCCCCAGGGTCAGGTACCCTTAATCCTAGCATTGCACCATGAATCAGTATCCCAGAATCACATTCCTCAAACCAGTATTTCTTACTCTAGATTCAGCCATCTCTGAAAAGCCCCACCTATGACTGAATGGGGTTTGGGGGGGGGACATCTAGATACAAGCCAGTATTAACTGCAAGGTCTTTCCAAATTTTTGGAACCATAATACTAGCACTCAAATCAAGCCTTCATATTGAATATTAAGTCCTTCCACCTAATACTATCCAGATGTAAGGTAAGTTGGGGCGCCGTCCTTGATCTTTGTAGCCATCAGCAACAGGTAACAAGCATTTCCCAACCAAGTGTGGCAGTGTGGTCATTGCCCTAAGGCCAGCTCTCTGGGCTTTAAATCTGTGGGCTGTAATAGTTTTATCTTCTTTCGTTTTTCCATCTCTGTGGAAACCGACTTTGTATCTTGCAAAGAAATACATGTTTGTTAAGCAAACATTAACATTAATAAAAATGGTGAACACTTACCAAGTGCTTTACTATGTGCCAGAAACTTCACTAAACCTTCTGCATAAGAGCAACAGTAGCTCTTAAGCTAGCTGCCTTTGTTGGGATCTGTATTTTACAGACAAGGAAACAAGGTTACAGAAAAGTTAAATAATTGCCCAATGTGACACTGGTAAGTGGTAGAGTTGGCTTTTATTCCAAGTGTTCTGTGCTAAAAAGTGTCAAAAGAACCATTCTGTGTTGCACAATAAGTCCAGTACATGGTTTCAGTTTATAAGGCTGGCTTCATCTCTCAAGAGACCTGAATTTTAAGAACAGAAAATAATTTATAACTTTACTGAACAATAAATATAAACCATGGGCCAAGAAGATAGTTCAGTGGACTAAGGGCCTGCTTTGGCAAGCGCAAGGACAGGGGTTTGATTCCTGCCAGCCCCGCCCCAGGTCGCACTGAGCTGACTCCCAGTGTGATGACACATGCCTGTAATCCCAGCACTTAGGAGGCTGGAATCAGGAGGATCACTATGAGTCCGAGCTACGTAGTGAGACTCTGTACCAAATACTATACATCTCTATCTATTTCTATAATGTTCTGTATGGATATTCCTTTAACAATAATTTCATTCTTTTGCATATGGGAAGGGGACCAATAGAGTACTACCTCAGGATGACCCTGAACTCACTGTGTAGCCCAGGTGTGTCTCACATGGCAACAATCCTCCTGCATCAGTCTTTCAAGTACTGGGATTATAGTACTGTGCTACCATTCTGGCTGATTTTTTTTTTTTTTTTTTTTTTTTTTTTTTTTTTTTTTTTTTTTGGTATGTTTTAAGGAAATGTCTACAAGGTGTTCAGGGTCTCACTATTAAGATGGGACTTATAGCGATCTAGCTATCTACAAGCTCCCCAGAGTTGGGATTACAGGTGCGCGCTACCATGAGCAGTCTCCATTGCTGTCTCAGTATGCCCCGTGGGCGGGGCTGGCACGGCATGTCCGGGGATTGAATCCTGGCCCCTGTGCCTGCTTGCAGGCACTTTAATCCGCTGAGCTCTTTGGCTGGCCTCAGGTTGATTTTTTTGTTTTATGTCTTTTTGTGACAGCATTTCTTTTTGTGTGCGGTTCAGGCCTCAGCTTCGCAGCAATCCTCCTGCATCAGCCTTCCAAGTGCTGGGATTACAAGTGTGTGCCACCATGCCAGCCTCTGGCTGATTTTTAAATATTAAGCTAATGGCACATTTTGAATAAATTCCAGCTGGATGATATGTAATATCTTTTAAAATTCATTTTATACATCTTTGAAATTTTGCTTATGATTTTTGCATACAGGTTTATGAGCGAGATTAGTCTACTGCCTTATTTCTTGTAAAGTTTTCATCAGGTTTTATAATCACCTTTATGGTTTCTCTTTCTGTTTGAAATGGAGTTTAACAAGTCTAGTTGACTATCCAGGACACACAGTTTAACAGTCCTTTGGTCACCTTATCAAGTACTCATAAAGGTAATTTACGCCTACAAGTGTTCCAGAATGTGGAGATAGGAATGTATTCAGGAGTTATTCTAAGTAAATGTCAAAACTTGGGTATTTCTGAAAGTAGAGAATAGGAAAATGACAAAAGTCTGATTTGATTAGATTGGGGAGAATGATGGTATGTTTGACATACTATGCACTAAGATCAGTTGTCCCCATCCTGAAATGTTATGTGGGATTTCAGATATTCATTGGCTTTCATAATATATTAGGCTGAGTACTCTATGGTGGAACAGAACCAATGAACTTTTCTTTGTATTAGATAAAACCAACAATGATGTGACTCTTTATAACCACAATGAAACAAAATACAATTTTTTATCCTCTAGACAAATTCAAAGCACAGTTGAGACAGAAGGGAAAAAGAAAAGGGAATCAGGGAATACAAAATAAAAGAAGGGAGTATCTGGAAAGTGGAGGAAAATACTCTCATCTGCACTGTGGTTTACTGCACCATTTTAGCCATAGAATGAATATTTACAGATATTAATTTCCCAAGAAAAAATGACAACAGGAAGAAAAGAGCAGCAAACAAATCATTAAAATAGAGAATCAAGCTAAATCTAAAGAAAGGAGAGTCAGCACACAGCCAGGGGAAAAGAGCGCCCTTCACTGTAGGCTCAAAAATTGAGTCAAACTTCATATTCATTCCCCAGAGTGAGAATTGCATGCTTTGAAAATGCTGGAGCATATTCAATATGGAAGCACAAATAAATCTCAAAAGCGTGTGAGGCAAGAATAAAATCTTTATTCGAAGTGTGTTGGTGCATGCTTGTTACTTGGGAGGCTGGGACAGGAGGATCACAAATTCAAGCGCTGGCTAAGAGGAACCATGACTCAAAATAAAGTAAAAAGTTTGGGGACCAAGGTCAGTGGTACAGCACTTGCCTAGCATGTACGAAACCATTGGTTTAATCCTTAGTACTGCAAAAGAAAAAGGAAAAAGAGAACCTCCTTGGAATTACTGGCTAGTCAACACAAGGATGAAATGTTTTTCTACCTCATTCTTTCAAATCACCTGGTGTTATGGCATGGGTGGCAAGATGACACTGAAAAACAAATAATTCACCAGTAATGATTACTCAGCAGTGCAGCTCTCCCCAGATAAATGCTTCAACAACTCAGGGCAGAATTAGGAGTTGCTTCTTTTCCTCTCAAGAAAATGGAAACCGTTCAATAAATTCATATAACTTGAAATTCCAACAACTTGGAACTTGAACTATTTTACCCAACTTTGAGTTAGACTGATTTTTATGATTATATTGGTTAAGAAGAAATGTTTGCTAACACATAATTAAGGAGCAGTTTAAATCTACTTCAAAAGTAGATTTTAGAAAAGTTCAATAGATATTTTAACTAACTAATTATTCAGCAGCAATTTATGACAGTT